ACACATGTCGTTCCAATTTCCCCAAACCAGAAAAATAGTGATATCACCTCTCCCAAAGAGATTCTTCCCACATGAATGGTTTGGAAGATATAGTCACTAATAGCTAGCCCAGGTTCACACATTCCAGTTGGAGACCGAACCAGCACCCCTTTCTGAAACATTTGCCTGAAGCATTTGGGGAACCCTGAAAACATGAGGATTGAAGGATTCTGTGTGGGAGTTTGCCATATCATTCCATCCTGGGACCTGCCCTGTCAGTGAAGGATGTCTAAAATCAAGACACTTTTCACATATCACAAAATCCACTCTGAAAGTACACAGTTCAGTGGATTTTAGAATAGTCACTAAGGGACAGCCACTGGTATCAGTGACCGAGGGACGTCACAGAGAGCTTGCAGAATCAAGTCTGGCATCTGGCACTAACCTTGTCCATAGTGAAGGGGCTGCATACAATGACAGTGCGGGTCCACGGTGACAAGGGCAAGGGTGGGAGTGGACGCTAGGATTGGTAGTTGTTTCTACAGATAGAGGATACTGAGTAACAGTCAGGGTCTCTCATAGGACACTGGCCAGGAGAGCTGCTGAGGGCTCTGAGACCTCCCTACAGACTCAGCATGTGACCACCTGGGGACCCAGAAGGGGCTGGCCCACAAAGTGTGAGGGGAGCTCTCTCCTCTGCCTGGTCATCTGACACCAGCTGGGAATGACCATGGTGTATTCTTTTACTCATCCTTTCAAATCTGCTTTGCACCTGGAGTAAATTAGCTGTTCTGAGACCTCACTTAATGAAACAAATTAGTTTGGAGAACGGCTCTCTCTCCCTGGCCGCCTGGCATCCGTGTGATGGACCACCGATGCCCCATTAGCTGCTTTCTCTAACTGTGAAGAGGTGGGCCCAGGAGTAGTCTAGGGCTGGGCAGACTCAGGCTTTCCCCTCTGGTTAGCTTCGTGAGGGAAGGTGGCAACCATGAGCTCTACCCATCTGGCTCTATTTCTAGGGAACTTGTGTGGGGGCGACTTCTGTCGAGGGCGGGCAATCCCTGGTCTTGGGACCTGCTTAGCTGCAACCTGCTCACTCCTCTTATCCACCCCCTCACACCCCTCATCTCCATCCCAAGGCCTACTGTGGCTCTTGGTTCATTCAGTTCCCACCTCCTCCAGGAAGCATTCCGTGGGATTACTCCTGTCTGTGAACCTTCTCAATGTTACCAAATCCCTTGTCATTGAATCAGTCCCAACTCATGGTGACCTCATGTGTTACACAGTAGAACTGCTCCACAGAGATGACTGTAGTCATTCCAGAAACAGATCCCCAGATCTATCTTCCACGGTACCACTGGGTGGGTTCAAACCACCAACCTGTACGTTAGTAGTTGAGAGCAAACCCAGGGACCATCTCAGAACTAAAACTTGGATGCTGTGCGGTCATGTAGAACTTTCTGGTGGATTCTGAGTCAGAGTCTCATTTTCAAGTTACTCTATCGGGGACCTTGATAGTGTAGGGACCTTGGGAGCAGAACTCAGCACATCTGGCAGTTCTCTCTTGTCCTCCAAGCACAGAGCACGCTCTGTGACTCTACCGTTCCCTGTGGTGTTCCATGAGCTGTGGCCTGGCCCCCTGTCAGCCCCACAACCCTGCCCTGGATGAAGAGCCCTGGTCCTGGGGGTTTCTGCTTCCAGGTAACTGAGGCCCTTAAACAGCATGGCTTCTTTACAGGATGATCTGTCTGGGATCAAACTGACACCAGCAACAGGAAAGGCTAGACAGGAAACTTCGGGGATAGTGAGTTAATGAGGAAGAACAACTCAGACAAGGAGCAGGAGAGCGTTTACACAAGTGAAAGAATTTTACATCAGTGTCACTCAATGTTGTTGTTGTTGTTGTTAAGGGCCGTTGAGTCTTTTCTGACTCATAGTGACCTTGTATAGGTTTCCGAGGAGCGGCTGGTGAGCTTGAACCACTGAGCCTGTGGTTTAAACTGACCTTGCAGTCCAATGCATTAACCCACAGCACCACACCATGACTCCTAACATATACTATATTATGTATACTATGTTACATATACTATGTTACATATACTATGTTGTTGTTGTTGTGAAGTGCCATTGAGTCCGTTCCAACCCATAGCGACCCTGTAGAGGGTTTACGAGGAGCATCTGGTGAGCTTGAACCGCCAAACTTGCAGTTCAAATGGCTTTGCAAAGTATATATAAAAACTGCTGCACTGGCGTTATGTTTTACTGGGTATATTCTCAACAACAACAACATAAAATGCATTATTAAGGTAAAATAAAAAGTGAACTCTCTATGGCTGCCTGCTCTTCTCTGGGAACCTGGGGACACTGTGGCCTCTCTGGGTGGTGATGAGAGACGAGCCATCATTGCTCACAGCACATTAGCTGCATGGAGAGTCTGAGCCCCTGAGAGCTTGGCTCCCTGAGCCTGTCTTTGGTACAGCTGACAACCATTGCTTCCAGTTTAGTTTATTTCCTCTGGTTTGGGCCCCTTGAACATGAGGCAGCGGCTGCTCATCTCCTCACCTAAAGATTTCATGAAATCAACGCCATTCACGTTATTTCCCTTCAGCCTCTTCTCTGGATCAGCCTTTTGCCTTCCTTCACAGGACATAGTTTCCATCCCTTTGATCATCTTTAGTGCCTGGCGTTGGACCCCGTCCCGGGTCCACATCCTTTCTGAGTTGCACTGACCTAGACCAGGAGGTTGGACCAGCAGGGCTCAGCGGAAGTTCAGCTTCCCCGCCTGTGTGCCGAGCCTCTTCCTCCACTCCTGGACCTTACCGCTACTTTCCGGGGGCCTGGTACTGTCCATGTGCTTAGGGGACTCCTGCTGAGTGAGACAACCTGGCCCAGAAAGGGACACATGGGCTGACTGGCCACTGAGCAGCCGTTCCCCATTGCATGGACCCTGAGATGCAGGTCAGGACAACTTCTCACCTGGAAGTGTGGGGGCAGTCAGCACTCCTGAGACACACACCCGGTGTCCTCTGCCATTAGGGAGTAGGGGACACCAGGCCCCTCTCTAGTCCCCTGTGACCACCTATTCCCTCTTAGGTGGTGCTTCCTACCTCTTCCCTCTGTGAGGAACCTGGCACCCAGGAATTAATGAGTTTCCGATGCAGCACAGTGAAAATGTAGGACCACGTGCTCACTGGTCAGTCTAGGGCTTGGTCCAACCCTCCATGCTCAATTCCCATGGGATGCCGCCCCACACGGTGCCGGGTGATTCTGATTTCTACTCCAAGACTACCTTCCTCTCAGCAGGTGGCACCTTAGTGTCCCTTGTGCCCATCACAAGAGGTTCTGGATGTCCAGTCCTCCCCCCTCCATCTGGTCCTCCTCAGTCAGGAATTCTGTGTGGAGGGACAGCTCGGGGAAACAGAGCCTGCCATCCAGGCTGAGAGGAGGGATTTCCTAAGCTCTGAGGAAGGCTGGGCTGTGTCAGGCTCTCCGAGGACATTCTCTGCTCATTAAAGGAAAACCCACGAGTCATCACCTCCATCTAAGAAATAATTCCCTAGAGCGGAAAACCCCATTTCAATTCCTCAGGCAGAAGCCTTTTCTCTCTCTCTTATTTCTTTTTTGTATTTCTATCCAGAAATAATTAATGTGTATTTGAGCCAAAATAAACAAAACAAATAACACTGCCCTTCTCCCCTTGTGCACAAATAGCCAAGTATTACAAACACAGTACCTGACATGCTTCACGTAAAACAGACATTAGAAACCTTTGCAGATAAAATCGTCCTTTAAAACAGAAATCAATGTACACGTTCCAGAATGGCCAGTCTCTGTGCAGGGTTACCTCACTGCACATTTTAAGCTCTGCACGTATCTGGTCCCTCCTTATCATCCACGGCTCTGAACTCCAGGGGAGAAGTTGTCCCTGATTTCGTTTCAGTGAGGTTTTCCGAAAGCAGTAGCATGTGCCATTTGGGAGAAAGTTGTAGCACTCCACTTCTGAAAACATGAAACCCAAACCCAACCCAACCCATTGTCTTCAAGCTGATTCTGACTCATTTGGACCCTGCAGGACAGAGCTGAACCGTTCGTAGAGTTGCTGAGGCCTTAAATCTTCATGGGAGCAGATAAGCTTCATCTTTCTCTGTTGAAGCTGTTGGTGGGTTTGAACTGCAGACCTTGCAGTTAACAGCCCAACAAGTAGTCCACTATGCTACCAGGGACCCTCAGAAGTCTTATGAGGCAGTTCTAATCTGTCCTCTAGGGTCTCTGTGCATGGGAATCGCCTTGACAACAATGGGTTAACAGGTTTGCATGGTACAGCAGGCTGGTGCACCACAGGGCTGACTCCCCAGGACTGGGGTTGAGGGAAGACAGAACCGTGAACTCTGGAGCCCCCTAGAGGTTACCTCTCACACCACGCAGTCAGTTACACCCTTGTCCCCAAGACCGTCAATGCTGCTGAAAAGTCAGTGGAAAGAACAAATCCTGGGGTCCCTTCTCAGTGGAAAAGGCCATGGAAAGGGTGCACCTCTTCATGGGTTTCTGAAGGGATCTGTCTCTGGGAGACCCAAGGGAGATGCAGCCTCCAGTTCTCACTGAGGAAATTCCAACCACCTTGTCTTTATCAGCTGTTGTTATTGTTGAGTGCCGAAGTTGGTTCCGACCCACAGTAGCCCTGTATAGGGCTTCCTAGGAGCCACTGGTGAGCTTGAACTTCTGACCTTGCAGTTCAAACGGCTTTGCTGTCTGGCGCACTAACCCACAGCACCACACTTGTTGTTATGTGCCATGGAGTCAGTTCCAACTCATAGCGACCCTGTACAGGGTTTCCAAGGCTATACATCTTTACGGGAGCAGAACGCCTCATCTTTCTCCCGTGGAACAGCTGGTAGTTTTGAACTGCTGACTTTGCAGTTCGCAGCCTGATTCGTAACCAGTATGCTACCAGAGCTAACGAGGAAATCAAAACACAGCTTGAAACAAATGTGCTACAGCCGACACGACATGGTGTCTCTTACCTTCGATCATTTCTCCTTCTTCGGAACAGCTTCTTGGAGTGCGCTATCTCCGCTTCGTGTGGCATCGGGTGGTAACCCTGCATCAAGGGTGAAGAGGGAGGCCATCAGTGACTTGTGAAGAGAGCAAAGAATGTCAGGGATGGAACTAACAACATCTATGACAGAAATGTCACTGGTTTTGGAGAGACAGACTCTGATGATCAACTCCAGACGGAAAAACGAAAAAAAAAAAAAAAAAGCAGAGCTAATAAATCTCCCACCAGGAGACAATGCTGGAGCTGTGGATTCAAACAACAATGGGGACTAGAGGGACATCAGAATGCATCATATCCAGTCCCTCAAATCACAGATGAGCACGCTCAAGCTTAGAGAGGTGAGGGAGCAGGTTCAAGAATTAGCAAAAGAACTGGGACCAGACAGCCAAGTTCACTGTTGAGCTGAAGACACTGACTTTGCCAAGTCTCTGATTTCTAGATAAAACGGGATGCTCAGATTGTCTTCTCTGGAGTGTTGGCAGGACCCCAGAGATGGAACCTGCACCCCATGAATCCCAAGCAGAGGAAATGTGCTCCCAAACCAGTCTCCTTATCCTCATCCAGGCTCCCCATTGACAATTTTCACCCCAGGCCTTTCTTCCTTATATTGTCCTAAGAGGATTTTAGGGAAAAACCTGTGAACTGCTAAATGCCTCTTAAAATTTTAAAGGTTAGGCCCTGGGGCCCATTTTAAGGGAAGTCTTTTTTGCTTATTGTCATTCTAATGGTGACAACTAATTTATACATTTCCAACAAGGTTGGAGAGAGATCCTCTACTCATAACAAGGGGCCAATCCTGCAGATGCCAGGCTCCAGGCAGAATTATTTGCAGAGGATGCCAGTTGCAGTTGAGTTGATCCCAATTCATGGAAACTCCATGTGTGTTACAGTAGAATTGTGTTCATAGGGTTTCCAGTGGCTGATATTTTAGAAATAGATTGCCAGACCTTTCTTCCAAGGTACCTCTGGTTGGACTCAAACTTACAACCGTTTGTCTAGCAGCCACCCAGGGCATTCTTACAACTCCCTTCCGGCCCCTGTTTCCACTCCTGCCATCACAACTGCTCCTGCCACTGTAAGTGTGTTCTACTGGGAGCCTGGGGTTGAGGGAATCCAACTAATTGACTATGAGCTGCCTGGGATGGGGTAGGGGTACCTAGATGTGGGGGCACCTAGTCCTAGAGGCTAGGACACTGAGTACTGGCCCTAACACAGAGTCCACTTCAGAGTCTGACTCTGAAGCTGGTGGCAGAGTCTTGCCTGCTGGGAAGAGTTCAGTGGAATCTATTGGGTCCAACCCCATTTACAGATGAGACTGACAAACAGAGTGGTCACATGTGAATTAGGGTCCAGAAGTTCTCATGAGGCTGGCGACCCTGAACTGCTGGCCGCAGGGACACATGGAGGCCTCTGGAATTGGCTGACCAAGGGGAGGACAGTGGACATGGCAGTCTTGTCTGTGCCCACCCGGGCCAGTCAGAGAGTTTCCTGGGGGGACAGAGGGAGGGTGGCAGGCTCAGGAACAACAGGGACCCTGAGTTTATGGGCACTGGGTATAGATCCCTATTGAGTCCAGAGGACAATGACATTCCAAAATACATGCAAAGCCTGCAGAAGGCAGAACCTGTGTAAGGCAGGAAACTGTCAGAGAGAAAACTCAATAGTTTCCACTAAACAGAGAGTGACAGAAAAGTGGTGACTACTTCACTTTGGTTGGACCCACCATCAACACTCTTGGAAGCAGCAGCCAAGAAATCAAACAATGTATTGCATTAGACAAATCTGGTGCACAAGATCTCTTTAAAGTGCTCAAGAGAAAAAATGTCAGTTTGAGGACTATGGTGTGCCTGACTAACTTCACATGCATATCAAAGTTGGACAATGAATTAGGAAGCCTGTAGAAGAACTGATGCATTTGAGTTACAGTGTTGTAGAAGAATATTAAAGGTACCATGGATTGCTAGAAGAACAAACAAATCTGTGTTGGAAGAAGGACAACCAGAATGCTCCTTAGAAGCCAGGATGGCCAGATTTCGTCTCTCATAGTGCTGGCATAATGTCAGGAGGGACCAATCCCTGCAGAAAGACATCGTACTTGGTAAAATGAGGGTCAGCAAAAAAGAGGGAGACCCACACAAGATGGACTGGCACAGTGACAACAGCAATGGGCTCAATGAGGATGGCACAGGAGCGGGCAGTGTTTTGTTCTGTTGTAGAGTGTCGCTGTGGGTCAGAAACAACTCGACAGCAACTAACACCAACACCTAGTTATGGAGTCCTGGTGTGGCTCTGTGCAGGATCAGCACTAGACTGCTAACCACAAGGTCAGTAGTTCAAACCCACCACCCACTCCTCAGAAACCCTATATAGTGTCTCTATGAGTCGGAACTAACCCGACTGCACTTAGCAACAACAACACCACCTAGTTACAGGCGGAAAACTTGCAAGACCTGGAAATGCAAGGCTGTCCCAGGTTTCACTAGTTTTTAACAGCCTCCATGTCCTCTCTCCGGCTCTCGAGCCTCCAACAGGCTGGCCCAAAAGGCATGAATGAACCCCAGGCTCCCTTCTGCTACAATGGGCCCCAGGGGCCATAGGATATGCTTTGTTTAATGGTTTTCTCAAAGGATATTATTTCCCTTTTTTGATATAAATACAAACAAGGAAAAACACCAAGTCTTCCCCTCTCATTTCCCCTCTCACCACACTGACCAGGCTCTCCCCTTCCCTCCTTCCCTCCAGGCCTCTCCAGGTCACTTCAGGAATGCAATGGGTGTTTCCCAAGCAGACAATGGGCAGGAAAGCCAGGCTCCCCTGAGCTGGTGGTCTGTGATCTGGATCTCAGCTCTGAGGTTAGGGAGGGGAGCTGTTCACTATAGCTTAGTGTTCCATGATCCCAGGAGGCTAGGGTGCCAGTCTCTCACATCCAGGCCTCAGAGACCTGGGCTCTGTCCTGAATCCTGACCTCCTTCTTCCTCACATTGGTAGCAGCAGTGAGAAGCTGGCCTTGGCACAGGAGCATGGAGTCCTAGCTCTCCACAAGGACTCAGTGTGGCCCAGTGACTTCTAATGAAGATGTTCCCTGTGCGTTCTGTCTTCCACTCATCCATCCATCTACCCATCCACATTCCCATCATCTATCCACCCATCATCCACCCATCTGTCCATCTATCTTCCATCCATCCTTCCATTTATCCACCCACCCATACACTCATCTATCCATCCACATCCCATCACCTACCCATCCATCCATCCATCCATCCATCCATCCATCCATCCATCCATCTATTCATCCTCATGCCCATCATCTATCCACCCATCATCCATCCATCTGCCCATCTACCTTCCATCCATCCTTCCATTTATCCACCCACCCATACACTCATCTATACATCCACATCCCATCACCTACCCACCCATCCATCTAGCTATCCATGCAACATTCACCCTTCCATCTGCCCATTCATGTTTCCATCCATTTATCTATCCATCCATCCTTCCATTCATCCATCCACCCATACACTCATCTATCCATCCACATCCTATCACCTACCCACCCATCCACCTAGCTATCCATCCATCATCATCATTCTATCTGCCCATTCATGTATCCATCTACTCTCTATCCATCCACCCACCCATTCATTTATCCATCCATTCATCTATTCACATGCTCATCATCTCTCCATCCATCCTCCACTCATCTATCCATCCATCCATTCACATTCATTCTCCTATCCCACAAAAATTAATACATGTATGTACATATATGGGAGCTGTGGTGGTGTAAGCCACAGGGTTGGCAGTCCTAATCCACCAGGTGCTCCATGGGAGAAAGATGAGGCTTTCTGCTACCATAAAGATTTCCAGCCTCAGAAACTCTCTATGGGTGGAAATAAGTTGGAACTGACTCGATGGTACACATTAACAACAACAATGCACATGCTGTTGTTACTAAGTGCTGTAGAGTCGGTTCTGACTCATAACGACCCTGTATAGGGTTTCTGAGGAGCAGCTGGTGAGTTTGAACTGCTGACCTTACGGTTCAAACTGAGTGCTTATCCTACAGTGCCACACCAGGACTCTACACCAATGTACATACATAAGATATGATAGTCATTGGAAAACTTGGGCTATGGAGTATGACTGTAAGTATTCAAATCCTGGTTTCTCCTCTTGATTGCTGTGCAACATTGAGTAAATGATCTAACCTCTATGTGTCTCAGTTTTCACTTCACTGCTATAAAATTCTCATGGTGGTGGTGGCTGTGTGCTGTGGAGTTGGTTCTGACTCATAGCGACACTGTACAGGGTCTCCAAGGCTGTAAATCTTTACGGGAGCAGAAAGCCTCATCTTTCTCCCATGGAACAGTTGGCAGTTTTGAACTGCTGACCTTAAGGTTCGCAGCCTGATTCATAAACACTACTCTACCAGAGCTCCTTAATTTAGAATAGTGCCTAGCATTTAGCAAGCTTCAGTAAGCAGCTCTATTAGTGTTGTTGTTTGTATGTGCTGTGGAGTTGGTTCTGACTCATAGTGACCCTGTTTAGGGTTTCCTAGGAGCAGCTGACCACTGACCTTGTGGTCCAGCCTTAGTAAGCGGTCCGTTATTGTCATCATCATCATCATCATCATCATCATCACTACCATCAATTCAGCATCTTCCCCATGACCCTGACCTCTGCCCAGCGCTGAGGGTGCCCAGACAAGCATGGTTTCTCTGCTCCCTGTCTTCATGAGTCCCCCTCCGCCCGCACAGACTTTTCAGAGACAAGAACCCAGCAGAAGGGGATATGCAGGGGGAAGGGGGGACAAGTTCTGTCCTGTGCTTCTTTGGCGATGGATAACAGGCCCCATTGGGAAGTGACAGAAACCATCTGGGAAGAGAGATAGAACACAGCCTTATATCCCAAGACCCCATCCATGTGGCCAACTGGTACCATGGTGAATACATGAAAGAGCCTGCACTCTTTCCTGGGACTCTTTGCACAGGACTCTGACGTACTAGGAACTGTACGAGGGAGGGTTTCAAAAGTTCAAA